CTTTGTGCATTAGCGAATTTGCATTGAGGACAATGCAAAATTTAGGTGTGGGGGTGGGAATTAGTTACTTTTTCCCTTTATTTTACCTTTTTTGTTGTATTTTTGTCATTTTTTTCCTATAAAAAAATTATAAAAATATTGTCACTTGCCAATTAATAGAGTTAAGTAATAATTGATTTAATTGATGGATTTTAAATTTTCTAATTCCTAGTTAGTGATATACTCAAGTTCACCTTTTATGATAACTCCAAATAATTTTCTTAAGAAATGATTTTTCAAGTAGTATACTTTACTTAAGCCTTACCTTAGACTTTTAATTAAAAATAATAAAATTTTTGCATGCTTAACTTAGAGTTGAAAATATTTTTTTCAAGTTATCTTGATTTACACATTGTTTTTCAAACTATATATACTTACACACATATATATTAAAAAAACTAACCTTATAAAAGAAGAGTGTGAAAAATGGGCACAAAAAAAATCTTGAATTCAAGGTGATTCTATCTTATAAAATCTAAGTTGACTGAGTAATTAAGCCCAAGGAGTATCTCTATACTTAATGACCTAAGCCCAATTAGGTTGGGATTCATTAGCCCAAAACTCGTTAAATGGTCACTTAGAAAGCCCGTTAAAATAGAAAACAATCACCAAGAATTAGAGAGTGAAAAAAAATATATATATAACACTAACACCATTTTTTATATATATTGTTGTTTTGTATATATGGTTTTGAAAAACAATTTTTGATCAAGAGACTTGAAAGTTATTTAAAACAAAGAGTTAGCATGTTCTTTTCAAAACTTTTAAATTAAATCTCTAAGATTTGACTTGGTTTTGTATTACTATAATGAAAAAGATTTTCTAAGAGATTTACATTAGAGTTATATATAAAAACATTTTCTTGAATATTAACTAGTTTCAATTAGAATATATAAATATATCAAAGAAAATTAGTTATTTACTAACTTCTTTAATTTGGCAAGATGACCGAATTTTGTGGGTATATTCACTGTAAACCCTCACGATACTACAACTCGTCCACTAGGGTAACTTAGGAGTTTAAATGCTTGTTGTATGCGCTAAATACAACCGGGATTCCTATGAAAGTGAGTTAGGATTTTCTTTTTATTTTCTTTGCTAGAGGACTAGCAAAAGTTTAGGTGTGGGGGTATTTGATAATCATATTTTATTATAATTTTATACTCTTATTATCTATTTTATACGAATAAATATACCACTAATAATTATTTTTATCTTTAAATGCAGGTTAATGAAGAATAAATCCTAAAAATCCCATCTCTCAACAAAGGCCCTTGAGTGTTTTTGGATAAGATTTCAATCCAATGGCTCTCATTCACTGATGTTTACTATAAATAGGGGTAGAGAGTGAGGGGTTAGAGGTGTGAAAATTTTGTAAACTCCTTTTGGAGAGGAGGGCTACTCTTAATTGAGAAGGCCTTCCAAAAATTGTAACTTTAGTTGCAATTAATAAAAATAATTTTTTCCTCTTTAAATTTGTTCTTTCTCCTCTTTGTTGAATGATGAGGATGGAGATGAAGAGCAATTTGAAGGTTTGCATTTATTTTATTTTCCTCTTTTATTTCTTTTTAGTAATTCTTTATTATTGCTTATTAGTTAGATTTACATTCATGCTTGTAGTGTAGATTTATTTTCTTGTCTTTTTATTTCTTTTTGCACTTTAATTTGTAGAGTAGATTTATTTTCATGCATTTAATTTTTGTAATTTATTTCGTAGTTTAGATTTTAATTTTTTATAGTTAGATTTATTTTTTTTGTTCATAGTTTAGATTTTTCTTTCCTTTTTATTTTTGTAATTAGTTCTTTTTCTTTTTGCTTTTATTTCTTAAGATGTGAAATTAATTCTTATAGGAATCTTAGAATTGTATGAAACTAGTCTAATTTTCTTTAATTGTATGAATTATTCTCTTGCACTTAAATATTTATGTTTAGGATAATCAACTAGAGAACTAATTGGTAGAAGAATAATTTGATAATCTATGTTTATCTTAAATGGTTTGATAGGTTATGCTTATGAATTCTAGGATTACTATCTTGTTTTTTTCTTATCATGAATAGTAATTTTAACTTAGATGATAATTTGATAGGTTATACTTTTCTTAAATGGTTTGATAGTCTATGATTAATAAATCTAAGTTGAAATATGATAAAAAGAGAATAGTTTGTAAATGGTTTGATAGTCTATGATTAATAAATCTAAGTTGAAATATGATAAAAAGAGAATAGTTTGTATTTTATAATTGAGATTAACTAGTGGATTTAATTCTAGATCTCTCATATCTTTAATTGAATTCTCCATCGTTTGTTTTCTTGATTTTTTTCTTTTTTTTCTTGCTTTTTATTCTATTCTTTGATTCTTACTTCTCTTTGCTCAAATTCAATTTTTGTTACTTGCATATATTCAAAACAATCACTCATCATATCTCTCTCCATAATCACACTTATTCTTTAATCTTATTTTTGTCACGCACAAAACATAAGAACCAATTCTAATAATCTCTTAAAATCACCTTCCTCGTGTGATCGATAACTTTTTATACTATAACTTGATCAATTGTGTACTTACAATTTTTGTACATAATTATGCCGCATCAGATATAAAGGACACTTCGTGTTTCGTAAGCGATGCGTAGCTCCCGATCAGTTCTTGTTTTCGTTATTCTAAAGTTCCATTACTTCACACGGTTCGTCGACTCACTTCATGCGCTTGTCAATGTTAAATAAGCTTCTGTGATTCGGATAGTGACATTCATCATCTTCTCTCTGTCCTGAGCCGCGTGCGAGAACCTATATGCATTTTTAGACGCCTACATCAATGGCAGACAAGTGTCTCACATTATGCATAATCAAGTCAACGCTTTAAGATAATCAAAGGGCCAATTCAGTCGACTCGACAAGCCAACATCTTGCGAGGACGACTCAAAAGGCGCAACATGTCGATGACCTAAAAGGCATTACATGTCATCCAATGGCTGAGTCGACTTCTTAATCACGCCACTCAGGTGACTGATCGACCGACAACTTGTGAGGGCGACTCAAAAGGCGGTACGTCTTGACCACCGGATGAGTAGAAAGGAGACAAAATGCCTCGAGCCCCCTCCTATGCACTTGTGAACTACTGCAATTCATAGGGTAAGATCTTTCTCACTATTGATTGTGCTTAAGAACTACTGCAATTCATTTTTACTTCTCTACTCAAGCAAACTACTAACTTGATTGTCAGAGGAACAATCGGAGAACTCAACCCCGCCCTCTTACGATTTGCTACTTGTGCAGGGAAGAACATGTTACTCAAGAACTAGACATTCAAAGGGTTAGAGGACCTCCGTCAACTTAATCACCCCCCTTATTTGACTGTGTGATTTGATACATCAACAACGCTATAGCAGAATTAGCGTCGCTAGCAAAGGGTTGGTCAATTTGAGAAGCTCATTGGGCATGCATTTGAAGAAGGGAATAATCAAAGGTGATTGTTGCCCCTTGCCTCGACTTGGTGTAACGATAAACACCATCAATTTCTAGAAGTATACTTCTAATACCAGGTGAATGTCTAGGATCAGAAGGACTATTGACATCTTTTTCTTCATCTCCAAAAACCACACTAGCCATATTGATCGTGAACTCTCAAAGATTGTTCTCACCCTTTTAGGTTTGTCATCATCTTTTTATCCTAGCCTTTGAAGGCTCAGGAAATTGATTGAGATGATTAAATATTGATTCCTTTTTATGAATAGATTTGCATTGGCAATTCGTTTGAACTGCCATGACGATTTCTCTTAGGGTCGCACAATGCTGACACTGGCATGCTCTCTTGAGCTAAAGGAACTCCCTTAGATTAGTAGGAGCTCCAACTTGGTTTAGGCTGTTGGTATCAACTTCGCATGCTTGGATTTTAACAAGCGAACGTCGCCTATGACAACATTGCTTCAATCTATGACTGATATGTCCAATCAAATCCTCATCATCACTCGAAACTTATGATTTGGGCAAAGAGTCACCATTTTGATAATTTTAGATGGAGGATTACCCCCATTCTTTGCTCCTTTTAAGAAGCGTGGTGAGCACCGTAGGATGCTTTAAAGTGAACCACCAAAGATGTTGTGGACTGATGCCCAAGTCAGAAGGTGTATAACCACCTTGGATCTTAGCTAAGGCAAGAGTCACTTTGGGCGAAGTTCTTCTGCTTCTAGCAAAGCCAAGTCTATTGCTGGCGAATGTCGCCTTCCTTAGGCTAAGGGTCGAATGTAACCCTATCCTCGCAGTGTGACAAATCCTACAACAATTTTTAGTAGTGGCCTCGGAAGTGGAAATGAATTCCTCGAACTTCGCTTGGTCAAATTCAATGACCAAGGATTAAGCAAAAGACCCTAATGCTTTAGTGGCATGTTGCAACACAATTTTCTCGTCGATTAAGAAGGAACTCCCTAGCGGAGTCGCCACCTAGCGGAGTCGCCATCCTGTTTCGGGTCTTTTGAATTATAATTAAAATATATTACAATTCAAAAGAAATTACAAATGAAACAAGAAAAGTTTATTTGAAGTTCGATTCTTTTATGTGTGCCGATGGAGCGTCGATCTTATATTATGTTGACGGTCCGACTAAGGCGTTGGGTCTTATACTGAGTGGTAGTTGCTGAAGCTCTTCTTGAAATGCCAAATCTTCTCTAGATGATGAGAATCCAGCTACCGAAATTGTTAAATCCAAGGTGCCAAAAAATGAGCAATTTCCCCTCCACTTATAGGCTAAGAGAGAGAGAGAGAGAGTTAGTGACCATTAAATGTGGGTTAAGTGGCCATTAACTTAGGAGATAATGGGTAAAATTATTTCTATAAAAATAGCTCTTGAAATAGTCAATGGCAAAGTTCGCCTATAGCGGTAGATGGCGAAGCTCGCTAACTGGCTTTGGGCAAAGCTCGCTAAATAGTTTTGGGCGAAGTTCGTTCTAGTGAACTTCGCTAAAATGTGGGCAATCCACTTCCCTTGTGGTGTGGATAACGTGGCCCATGTGGATCTTTTAGATGAGGTTCACATGAGGCTTGAGCAAACTAATTGTTTGGATGAGCTTTGTCATGGGCTTGTGCTTCAGTGCATATGAAGTATTTAGATCATGGGCGTTCACTTCCTAGGCTAGGAGACTAGGACTGAGTGTTGATCTAGGATAAAATATATTTTAACCATCTACTGTCATGAAACAGATCCCTTCACATTGGTCTAAACAGGATAGATCATGTTTCCTCTCTCAGGTAAACTTTTTCTATTGGGATGATCCATATTTATTTAAGTATGGTCCTAATCAGATCATTAGAAGATGTATTCTAACTAAAGAGACTAGGAGTGCTCTTACCTTTTGCCGTGAGCAGGCTTGCAACAGCCACTTTGGCCTAAGAAAAATAGTCGAGAAAATCCTTCAATGTGGGCTATATTGGTCCAATTTGTTCAAAGATTCATGCGAGTTATGTAAAGCATGTAACTGTTATCAGCTTTTAGAAAAATTACTAAAAGAAATATAATGCCCTTACAACCAATCTTAGATATCGAGTTTTTTGATCTGTAAGGAATAGATTTCATGGAACCATTTTCAAACTCTAGAAGAACGTACCTATAGCAGTACAATCTCTAGTCTAAGCCGATGCTTGTAGCAGTTAATAAAATTCGATAAATGTGTTCTGATAAAACAAGCGAGAGTAAATGTGCAAAGAGGGTAGATTTAAGGGGTATATAAATAGAAAAACCTTAGATAAATTAAAACTTTCATAAGACCAAAATAAAAATAAAAATAAAAATAAAAGGAAGAAAGAAAAGGAAAACTATAGAAAAAAGAAGCAAATAAATTGTGAAGAAAAAAAAAAGCATGCGAAAAGAAATCCTTTTAAACATACTGACCGCCCTTATCCACAACCCCCCTTCTAAAAGCACAAAACGGACGAAACCAAGAGGAGAGCAGGCAAGATCATAATCCCCTCCCTCATCTCTTTCGGGGGCTGGAAAAATGGCTTCCATATCCATGAACGGAACCTATCTCTGCTCTCTCGCCGCCCAATTCCAACGCAAGCCCCAAAAATTCCTCTCAAGATCCAACCACAATCTCACCCCCGTTTCCCCTTTCTCTCCAAAACCCACCCTCTCCCTCTCAAACCCTCATCTCCCCTTCAAACAACTAAACAAGCAGCATCACTCTCCGCCGCCGCCGCCGCCGCCGCCGGTGAGGTTGTTGAAACCCCGGAGCCAACCCAAAAAGAAGAAGAACAAACAGAGGTCACATACCCATCTCTCTGTTCCCCTTTTTAACTTCATTCTCACCTAATTTTAATGGGTCATTGCGAAATTGACAGGAAAGGGAGCTAGGAGTGGTGGTTAAGGGATTGGAGAAGCCAAGGCTTGTATTGAAGTTCATATGGATGGAGAAGAACATTGGGCTGGCATTGGACCAGGTGATACCGGGTTACGGTTCGGTTCCGTTGAGCCCGTATTATTTCTGGCCCAGGAAGGATGCTTGGGAGGAGCTGAAGTCGAAGCTGGAGGAGAAGCCATGGATATCGCAGAAGAGGATTATTATACTTCTTAATCAGGCCACTGATATCATCAACCTCTGGCAGCAGAGCGGTGGAAACCTGTAATTGTTTTCTTGAAGCTTCTTTCTTCTTTTTTTTGTATGAGTAAATTGTCTCCTAATCGACACTACGCTTGTTTTTTTTCCCCTTTTTTCAATGATCATAGTTTCGTATTTTTTTTCTTGCTGAAATGGTACATTTTGCTTGCCTATTGATTATAATAAATGCAGTTGATAGAAATCAACTACTTAAAATGCCCACCGCAGGTTTTAAAGGTGCCTTTAACCGCACCAAAATTTCAAAGTTGTGGTGAAGGTTGAGGGTTATAATTTAACACAGGTGGCCGGTGGTATTTGAAACTGGATTTCTCTGGTACCATATCATCAACATTGCTTCCACGACACCAAAACTCCAAAGTTCCAGTGAGGTTATGATATATACTGTAAGAGTTTGCATTTTATTGCATATCTTGACAACTTTGAAATTTTGTGCAGTCAAAGGCACCTTTAAAATTGGTCTATTAATATTTGGACATTTGAATCATCCATTCTGAATTTAACACTTATTATATATTTTATAACTTGCATTGATCCCCACTTTTTGCTCAAGATTGTCAGTAAATAATAGATGGTAGTGGTTGAGGAAGAGGCTTCTAGAATGTCTAACCGCAGCAGAGAGGATTTAAATATGGTTGTTACTACTTATTACCATGTGCATACATTGAATAGTCTTTGCACTTCTCCATTCACAGCCATCTAATAATTTTCAGACAACCATGTACTGATGTTTGGATAGTTGAATGGTTCATTTCTAATTCGCACATTTTATGTATTGATTCATTCCTTTAACCCATGACAAATGACAATCATCCATTAAATAATAGACATTTCTGATTGTTAAAGAGGGCTTTCTACTGTCTAACCACAATGAAAAGTAATTTGAATCTAGCTGCTACTACAATGTGCATACAATATGTATCTTTAATCCGTTGACTCCCTTTTCCGATGCTACAGTTTTATTGGTAGTTCTAGTAATTTAGCTTGTATTTGTGCTAATTAACCATTTTGTTGTTTTAGTTCAAATGCTGTGTGGTCCATGTGTCTGTAGTAGAGTCCTCACTCATCTGAATTCCTCGTTGCAACATATACTTGGAAATCAGACTTTACTTCATTGATTTATTTTGGTTCTACTTGTATTCTAGAAATGATGGCGTGTTTAGTTGTTTATTACTTGTCTAAGTGAAGTTATTTTTTGGGGTTGTTCTATCTACATCTACTTCTTTTTCACTTTCTTTTCAATTTATTACACTTACAAATAGTTGTGATTTGTCTCTGATCTGCATTTTAGTTTTCTGACAAATGGCATGTTCTCTATTTATGCGCTCCCAGTTTCTGTTCTAGGATAACATGCCTTGCCCATCCTTTCTTATATAAACATACTGGCTGCAGATGAGATATATTCTATTTATTAGAACATTCCTTGGTGCTGATTGTAATCTTCTAGTACTACTTTCAGCGAAGTTTGAGCCTATGCCCCTAAATTGTAGGATTGAAATCATTGTTTGGAACTTGGAAGGGATTTCCTTAAAAAATTAGTTGTGCATCATTTTATTTTGAACAATCACTTTCGCTCTCTTGTTCTCTACAATTCAAGAAATAAGAAGCTATAGCCTATAACTTAGTTCAAAAGTCCTAATTGGATATCATTGGACCGTCATCTTTTCTGCAAAAGTTTTTGATCTGTGAAAGATTTGGACTTTTATTCTGGCAATTAAACATTCCCATAAATACGGTTAGGTTTATGTATTGTGTCTGTATCTATTGTCAAATATCCCCTTCCCCAGTTTCTATCTAGTCTATTGGGCATAATTTTGAAATCACGCAAGTTCTTGTTATGTAGGTTAACCATTCAGTTGTGATGTTGCACTGGATTGTTGTGATACTTTTTTTATTATTATCTTATTTCTTAAGTTTCTCACAGCGTACACGTGTACCCCTTGTTAGCGTGCATTTTTGTTAATGCTTCTTTAAGCAGGCAGATGCAACCGTTTTTGTTTTTGTGGATCATCATATAAATGTGTGTCTCTGATGCAAACGTTTGTGTTTTTGTGGATCATCATATAAATGCTTGTCTCTGATGCAAACGTTTGTGTTGTTGTGTGGATCATCATATAAATGCGTCTCTGTGCATGCATGAGTGTTTAAGAATAATAGTGAGTGTTACTTGTTAGGGAGGGTGCTGATGACTTAAAGACTTAAAGATGTTTGGTTTCTGAAAGATTGAAAACACAACTATAGTTTTAATTTCTAAAGGGCAAATGGAGTCAGGTTTTAGTTACTTATTTCGCAGCAGTTTTTTGCACTTGAGATAAAATGTCATACAGTGAATTTACTGACAACTCATTTCTGGGTGAAAATCGGCATTTTATCACAATGGTAATTACGAAAAGGCTACAAACTGCGACATAACAAAAGAGTACAACTTCAACGGTTATTTACCATGGCAACAGGTATAGTTATAATTTTCCTGTACAGAGCATCCTGTAAGTGCGTATGGGCGAATACACATTAGTAAGCATGGGTGCGGGGTGAGGATACGAGGGAGCATGTCAGGAGTCCTGTGCTTATGTTGGCCGATGCACATTAGCAAGCACGGGTGCGGGGCGAGGATACGACGGAGCATGTTATAGGTGACGTGCATATGTTGGTTTTAAGTATGTCTATGCGAATCACATTGGTCTGTTTATGTATGTTTTGTGTGTATATGCACATTGCTGGCTGCTGGTATGCTAATTTCTGCTGCTTCCACGAGCATTATTTCTTCTTCCATACGACCATTTTGAGAAATCTGGATCAGTCGTTTCTTGGATTCTGTACCTAATATCGGCAATAATAAGGTTTTTTAGTATAAGGCTTCGACCCATGTTCTCAGTCGAGCTACGTTTATTAGTTGTACACCATGGCTTTATTCAAGCAGGTCCCCTGAGTTTTCAGAAACTTAAGAGAAGAAAGAAAAATAAATTGTGAGGGTCGAAAATAAGGACATCTATGCTCGTAATTTTAATGGATAACAAAATTGATAACAACGCTGCAGATAGCTCTTTCTACATCATAAAAGTCGGAAAATACGAAATTACACAACTTTTGTGTAGCCACCCTCTTATGATTAAAGCATTAATTATCCTCCGTTAAAAATGGAAAATCCTATGAGCAGCCCAAGACAGTTGGGAGAAATCCAAAGAAGCTCCCTGGTATTGTAGCCATTTGTAAGCTTAATTGGAGCTACAACCTCTGTACCATGATAATGCAGTTATTTGTATCCCATAAATTGTTTTACTAGAACTTTGCTACTTCTGAACTTCTAATGACATTGTTTCCCTAATCGTTGAGATGTCTGGTGGGAACGATGATAAATTACATTGTCTTAATTTAACTGGGGCAAAAAATAAACGGCGCTCCAAATTAAGCACAAAAATGTAACATGGCCTGATTTTCATACATGTAAGTATTAGAGCAACTCTAATGGTTTGCAGCCTCCCCAAAGAATATACCTCTTTATATTCTCTTTTAGAGGAGGGGCATTCCAACCACTCTCTTCTATATGAAACTTCATTTGTAAAATATATATTATTAAATGATTATTTCTATAATACTTTAAATGGTTTTGAAAATATGAAAAAAATATAAAATGATGAAAAATTTATATGAATTAATTTAAAATATAAAATAAATTATAAATCAATAATAATATATATATATATATATATATATATATATAATCATATATTTAAATAAAATTAATTATCTTTAATGAATTGATAATAAGAAATAGATAAGCGCTTTTAAATTTTAAAAACCAGAAAATATAGCATAATATTTGGAACAATCTTTTAAAAACCAGAAAAATCTTCATAACTACTCCGAAGTCTAGAAAATATAGGATAATATTTGGAACAATCTTCATAACTACTCCGAAGTCCAATTCTCACTCCATAATGAGTTACGGTTTGCCAAAAGTGATAAAATTTTATATATTAAATTCAACGGCATTACATAGAAAAATAAAGTACATGAAAAAAAATTTAAAAATCGGGCATGTCATTTCCTCCATATCCATCGCTTCTGTAGTCAGGTATTGCGTATTGACTTCCTGCATAACTATATTCAGGATTAGGAATATCAGATGAAGAACCTCCAGTTGTGTTTCTATTTAAAATGTCTTGTTTTTTAATTCGAAAATACTCGCGTTCCGAAGGATCAGTAATAGTATCAAGATTAATTAACATGATTTTACTTTCCTGTCATTCTCTTCAAAGATCTATTTTTTTATTATCATTTTCGGCCCTTAACATCATAATCTGGTACATTGTCGATCTATCATTTTATCGTTGTCCATGATTTTTTTTAAAATCTCAACAATTTCTTGATTATTTTTATTGAGAGTTTCAAAGTCGATGTTCTTTTCAATTTTTTGTCTCCTCCTCATCCCCTCTTTCTTCCTTCTGTCGGCCGACTTGTTGACATATCGTCGTCATTATTAGTATATCCCTTATTATCGTCATTTAAGTCGATGGCAGGAGAACTTAAATCTGATCCCTGAGATGAGCGGGACTTTGAAGTTTTGGAAGTTGCAGACGATCTGACACTTATATTTGCCAATTTCTCTGCATCTTTTAAAATTGACCAAACATGATCAAATAAAAACCCCTTTATCTCTTCTGGATCTTCTGCAAATAATATCCTAGCACGTTTAATCTACCACAAGAGAGGAAGGAACAAGTATTAATAACATGATAATAGATGATAATCAAGATTTTTGTTATTCAAATACTTACAATGTCAAGCTCAGAAGCACCGCTTGGATTTAGGCGCTCGACTTGTCGAATGCATCCTCAAAATTTACTTATGGCATTCATAATTAATTGCATTCGACATGAGAGATATTTCGGAGTCCTTTGAGTAGTAAATATATTGGAAATCCTTTCATGAAATAAAGTAGAAATTCGTTCCCACAGTTTGTCCTTCTTTTGATTAGAACCCATGACTAGGTCTTGAGAGATTTTGAGCCACGTGGCGCATAAAATTTGGTCTTCTTCTTATAAAAAAGATTTTCTACGACTAGATGCCATAATCTAAAAGGAGATAAAGTTGTTGAGGGTGATTCTATTATGATGGAGGGATGCA